GTGACGTACATCACATAAGTCCGTGAGATTTCATAGGCCTACCGTAGGTAAACATAGAAAGAGCAATAATAGTAAAACTCGAGCGTCACGACATTGCGAAGTGTCTGCTCCTGTTCCTCGTATCGTACTCACTCGAGTCAATCCGAGATGGCCCGAGTGAAGTTTCATCCAAATGTTTCGTACGGAAAAAAAAATCGCGAATCGTACCTAGACCACCGAGCTTGCGCGCCATCAGGCCATCAAAGTAAAGAGAGGGCCTTCTTTTCAAAATGAATGCTGTAAATTTTGGGAATTACTACTATAAAACAATATATAATTAACATCAATCTGCATCATGTGCGTATTAACCGGCATTAGATAACCTAGACTTGTATTTTAAACCAAGCGTGTTTTTAATTTGTTTTGTTTGTGTGAAATCCATGTACAGTTTGTAAGCCTACCTTACTATCTTGAAGCCTAAGGGCTTCTTTTCGAGGTCCTTTGCAAACTAAACAGGAGGCTTCAATTCGAGAGAGGCTATATGAATTTGTAAGAGCCAAAAACAGCACCTAACAGAACAGATTAATTCTTGCTTTCTAGCGCGTACCATTCAATGTTTCCTGGAGTTAGCGCGCGTGATGTAGGCTACGTAGTAAGGCGAACGCTTGCATTCATTTCACTGTAACATGTGAATTTTGAGGGAAGCAAAATTATAACTGCAAACATAATTATATTTACATGATGAGAATCTACTAATCAAAGCTTTCCATTCATTTTTTAATGAAGTAAAAAGAGCAATAGAAAGGGTCTAACTTATCAAACAAACACCGGCACACCCAGTCTTTCAATGTTTCCTGTGCGAGATCAGCGCGTGATGTAGGCTACGTAGTGAACCGGCGAACGCTTGCATTCATTTCAGGTAACATGTGAATTTTGAGGGAAGCAAAATTATAACTGCAAACCTAATTATATTTACATGATGAGAATCTACTAATCATAAGCTTTCCATTCATATATTTCATTAAGTAAAAAGAGCAATAGAAAGGGTCTAACTTATCAAACAAACACCAGGCACACTCCAGTCTTCGCATCAGTCGCCGGAGAAAAATGATTCGTGGTGACCACTCACAATTTTTGATATATATATACCCAATGACTGGGTCGAAATTACCCAAGATTCAGCAAAAATTGCCCAAAATTACCCAAGTTTCCTGAAAATGCATTAAAATTTGAAAAAAAACGTGTTTTTCGCATGTATAGTTTCCCTTTTAGTTCAATTTATAAGCCATTTTTTATTGTAATTGTTTGTGTTAATTATGAAAATTAATATTCATGAGGTGATAATACGGATAGAAAAATACGCCCTCAGTCGGCCAGTGTTATCAGTAGATCAGTGATAAAGTTTTATTATGTAATGCATTAATTAGGTAAGATCAATGGCAACGAAAATCACAAAAAACAATTCTGAACCCATGTTTATAGCAATTAACAATGTTATGTGCACTTCGTTAAGTTTTGCTTACTTGAATGGACTGAAATATACTTTGTTACTTCTTAATTCTTCCTCTATGACAAAAATATTTAATTTTCTTAGTAAAAATAAAATACCCAAGGATTTGAACGGAATACCCAAGGACCCAAGACCAAGTCAAAATACCCAAGATCTTGGGTAAATACCCAAGCAGTGGTCACACTGGCGCATGTATACAGTCAATGGTGTTTGGAAGGCTTGATTCTATTGGTTTCCAAAAGTGACAGAGCTAAATATTGACTAATCACAACCATTTGTTGAGATTAGGTAGATTATGGTGGTAGAAAGAATAAAGATCAACTTACAGAGAGAAAGAAACCGATTGGTCAAATACTTTGCGAGTTATTCTGATTAGAATTTGGTAACATGAGCCGCGAAAGGTAAAAAATCCAATGTAGTTGCCTACTTTTAATCGAAAAGTGACAGGATAAAACATAAATCTATCTCGTTTTATTTCATCTCATTAGAAAGATAAAAGATAGATCTTTTATTTTTAAAAAGGAGGAAATTGATCTGATGAGCAGTTCCAAAATTATGATAGAAAAGGCCGTAAAAAAGGGTTTTTCCAGGGTTTTTTTTTTAGAGGAGTTTTATCAATTTATGCCAGCGTGCTACTAAAGAGCGCGTACAGATTCATGTCTCGGCGAGATTAAGCCCATTGGGCTTCTATTCGAGGTTTTACGGTACAATATGTGAATTAGCAACTTTTGTAAGCTACTGACGCATGCGTATGTAAAGACTGGTTATAATTATGACTTGTACCAGGAACAGGTGTACTATGTGGCCTATAGTTGTGGTATAGAGAATCTCCTATTAATTCAGTTGAGTACAAGATCACTAAATATTAGTGCTAACTATAGCTAAATAATATTTTTTTAAATAATCATTGATTATGAGAAGTTGCTATTTGATGTATGTAATGTGAACCTCTCTAAATAAAATTAACAATTAATATGCCTTAAATATCAATAATAATATGATAATGATGATGATGATTACCCGGTGATTAATTTCAATAATTAATATAATAATAATATGCTAAGATAATAATATTAAAGTTTATATGCCGCTGCCATTGTACCAGTTTTAGGCCTCACTGTAGGCCTTTTCTGTCACAGGGAATGGTAAGGTTCCACAAAGTCGAAAGTTCACATTCACCAGCGTCGAAATAATCCTCATAATGATAATAATACTCATATGTTAATTTGAGTAAGGACAAAATGTTTGTGCCGATTTACCGTCCAGACGAGTGCAAAGCTCTGGAAGATACATATATATATATATATATAT